TGGCAGTGAGTCTTTTATTTGGCGTAATCGTATGAACAAAAAACAAGTATTTTAAATTATAATTATCACCCTTAAATAAGCAAATACTATTATTATATAAAATCAATATTTTACTCTGTTATAAATTTTTCATATACAAAAAATATTATTTTTTATGTATAAAGTGTTTTATGGTGAGAAACCTCGCAATATGTAAAATTTGGCACAGATTTAAGTACCTCTATTTTTTATTATAATTTATTGATAACGCTTTTTTGGTATTGAGCTGCCTATGAATCTACTACTTTGAAAACTCGAGACACAATAACTGATTTAAATATATCCAAACCCATTTTTTTCAAGAATATCCCAATTACTAAAAAAATTACAAAACTGTAAGTCACAAATTTTATCACTTAGTCCTTTTGTATTGAAATCAAGGAGTTTGGATTATTCATAAATTTTTTAACGTAATATACACTGACTTGAGAAGGAAAACACTTATTATGAGCAAATTAAGATTACTAGTGCGTTTCGTCTTTAGTTAAACGTTTAGTAGTCAGTAGATATTTTATTAATAAACAAACACATATCACAACATGAGGACGATATTCAGAGAGTGCTACCAGTTTACAAAACATGATAATTTCCATAGAAGAAACGAAAACTAGTAATTTTAATGACATCATCCGCTGCAAATTGGCAATTAAAGACAAAATAATTGGTCAGGTGACGGAAACAGAGTTTTAGAAATTTAACTAACCAACGACCAAAAAATAGGAACAACAAATAACTAAAGCGAACAGAATATCTGGATACCTCGGAGATTCTATTTGGTGAAACGTGCGAACCTAACAAAGACTATTGGAAACGGAAATAAAAATACTTCACAGAATAACAAATAACATATTAATGAACAGATTGCGGAACAAAGATATTAGGCATATTTGCAAAATAGAACTGATGGTGGATCAAGCGAAGAAATACTGATTAAAATCAGCACATAAATCCAATGACTGAGAATAGGATAGTAAAAGTATCAAGAGATTAATCGCCAGCTGAAGGGAGATCAAAGAGAAGACAGAGAAAATAATGATAATCTCTGAAAGTGAGAAACCAGACACCAAGAACCTAGAAATTACATGTGCATATGGGACATGTACTTACATGTGAATTTGGGACATATAGGATTTTTCCCATCACACCGGCCAAATTGCAATTAGTGAGCTATAAATAATGGGAGATAATAAGAAACTTGCACCAGAAGGAATATATTTAGAGATAACAGAGCAGTCAACATAAACATGCTGTAAGTAAATTTCCAAACTAATGATAAAGTCAATCATGACTGAATATGATGCTGAATGTACCAATAGGACTTTATGACAACGAAATACTTTAACATGAATACCATTGAAACACTCGTGGTTTCTAAATTTACCTAGGAATCATTAAATTTCATCATTGAACATTTCATCTATATTGTTAGATGACTAACGTTAAAAGAATACATAAGGGAATTTTTCGTCCAAATTAAAAACATAGTATGTGTTCTGTACATTTCAAGCGTTTTAATTAAATATTGTATGAGACATATCTAGGCTCAAAATATTCTGTAACTACTAAAAATTTACACTTGATGAAAAAAATGAGATTTTTACGATGTGGTATCGTTTAAATATTGTTTATTGATTTATTACAATATTATTTCCCTTTCTTTTTATCTTTTTTTAATCACAACTCTCTTATGGTATATTAGTATACATTAAACAAAGCAAATGTATTTGATAATAAAAATACCAAGTAAGTAAATGCACAAACTGGTGTCCATTTATGAAGTATCGTTTGGAATCAAAATTTGTATTAAATTATTTGAATATTAAATTTTCATACACTTAATAAAAGGGCGTCCAGTCTTTTGGGTTAGGTGTTTATATTCTTTTAAAAAATTAAACTATTGACGATTAGGCATACATTGACATAAGAAAAAAAATCTATATAAACGTAGGAATGGATGACATAAAAATGAGCGGGTTTCCAATGTTTAATAGATTTTTATTTCAACTAGTTTTCCTTTTTTGTATATCATTAAAACGAAAACAAATCAAGAAATAAAATTGCAAGAGTTACAATGAATTATACCAAAAGCCTGTAAGTTATAATTTACTGTAAAAGAGTATGATACATGCTATTCAAACGAAGCAAGATATATCCGAGAGACAAAGTCGCGATTTTATTTTGTTACAAAGCTCATTGTTAAATAAAAGATGATTCTGCTAGTACCAGATTCCAGTGTAGAATCAACCATAATTTTTTCGTAGATTTTTGGTGTCATTAATTGAAATTATTCATTTGATTTGTAAGTATTGATTAACAATAAGGAATAATTTAAACTAGGGTATTGTCCACTCCCATTCGTTACTAAAAATTAGTTAGGATCTATGTTTGATTTAAACAATGTTTTCAGTCTACAATTTTCTGGATCTGGATCTCTTGAACTTTTGGATTATTACATATAAAATCAAGATAAAACTGATTATCACTAATCACTAGCAAAAGAATGTAGAAACAGTAGAAAAAACACGATATATATTTCCTTCAATAATAAAATACTTCAATGTATGCCCGAAACTTTACACAAATTCACAAGCCTTGCTGGAAACATTAATTTAGAAATCCTGCCTTTGTGCACACCATCACCAACAGCTATCGAAAACACATTCGATATATTACTATTTTATTTTTTTTTAAATATGTAAAAATAAGGCAATAAAAAGCAAACTCAAATGTTAAGCTATTTTATTAATGGAAAAAATTCTAGAAAATTTGGTACCTATTTTGTCAAATCGAGAAAGTTTGAATATCTTTGGTGTGTTTGTAACAATACTTGTAGGTTTTACACTTTTTTATTAACTTTGCAGACAATTGTTTTTTATTATTAACTTTGCAACCAATTCATCATTTATATACAGTGTGTCCAATTAAGTCTGCACCATATGGGAAACTTTTTTATTTTCAGTTTCATGAAAAAAGTCATTCTTTATCAAAAATTCTGCATATTCTAAACCTAAAATATAAATATAAACGGTTTCTCAAAAAATTGTGGACATTGTTAACTCTTACATAAAATTCATATTTTGTGACAAACCACGTATACTGCTAAAAAAAATTCCCATATGGTCCATTTAAGTTTGGACTATAAGGAAAAGTTTTTATGAAAATTTTTAGTTTTATGAAAAAAATTTCTTCTTTATAAACAGTTCTGAATGATCTAAAATCTAAAATACATTCACAGATATTAAATTTTTTCAGCCATATATGCGGTTTTTCAAAAAATGAATATTATCCATCGTTATATACTGAGATAATATCTATAATGTAAAAAATATGAATTTATTTTATTTAATTTCAAGAATATAACAAAAATTTTATTGTTACATAAACACCAAGCCATTTAAGCAAACTTTATTCACATAAAATTTACATTTAATCGAACAAAACAATAAATATATTCATGTATATAATATATTCAATACACAAAGTGTTTCAAAATGTACACAGTATAAGCAAAAATACATATTTTGAAATATATGAACTTTAATTTTTTTTTAAACAGAATGTCCCAGTATTTTTAAGATAGTTTACTAAAAAAAATAGAAGACTTGTCCCAGAGCACTATATGAGATCTGGAATTGAATTATCAGTATATCATTGCAGCGATATAAATAATATTGATTACAACACAGTGGCCTTCAACCTACTGAGGTTTTTAATCAATATATATATATATATATATATATATATATATATATATATATATATATATATATATATATATATATGTATATATATATATATATATATATATATATATATATATATATATATATATATATATATATATATATATATATATATATTGTTCCGAAAGATCTGGCAAAACCCAAGATTCATGAAAACTATTTTATATTTTATATATTTCTTTATATTTTCTTTATAAAGAATGAACTTTACAAATGTGGAGTACTGTCATACTACAGATACACTGATGAATTCAATGCATGAGCATATCTTTATTAAATCAAATATTTTGTCAGAACGGTTTACATGTTGAAATTCCTTTTGCTTTTCGGTAACTTGTAATATTGGTACCCTGTTTTATTGAACTCTTTGTATGAACCTCAAGTTGTGAAAGCTGATCAAATTTCTGAGATCAGATCTGTTTTAATGTGTTAACATATTACAGTTAATATAAACAGTAAAAAATTAATCAAAATATGCATAAAACGCCTCTCAGTTTTGAAAAAAGAGATCTAATCTCGGAAATATAACAAATTGACGTTTTGTGTTATAAATAAAAATAATAAGCGGCCAAAAATTAAAAACCGCTCGGGTCACTTCAACAAAATTAATTTTTGTTTTGCATTCAAATTCTTTAGAAGTTCTTTATTGATGTAGAACTACCAAAATGGAGAAATAATGATCAGGTATATATAGGACCAACTTGTCATTTGCAATGATTAAAAGAACAAGATGTAATTATATTATATATAACACATAAAGCCATTAAAAGAGTTTTTCATACACAAAATATTGCAAAGCACAATACATCCAACTTCTAGACTGAGATCAAAGGTACCAAGACCAAGATACCAATATATTGGGTATATTGTAAACAAACTTATTTTGAATGTATGAAAAACGCAGGTGCGAAGGTTCTTATAACTGCCCAAGCAAGTAGTCTTTCATCAACAAACTGATCATTACTTCAATTTACTAAACTTGAAATCTTGATTAGTAGCAGATATTTTATAAACTTTGCTCTCTGATTTTTCTGATGCGCGTTTTTTAGGGAATATACTTTCGTCCACAAAACAAAATTATTTTTTTGAAATGTCACAAGCCAAGTCAAGAGCTACAGTTTGTTACAATTGCTTGAAGAATTCACTTTAAACGTCAGTGTCAGTACCTACGCAATCAAGCACAGAAGTGGATAATTTTTTGATATACATATATAAAATTCAACACGCACATCCGCCGTCAGGATCTTTGAGTTCATTTGGTGTATCCTTCAGTACTACTTCTTGCATATCTTCTGGAGGTTTATTCTCCGTTGAGTCCATACCTGTAAAATATAATGTTTTTGAATGTTAGGTATATAAATTTCTGTGTATCAATAACCCTAACCCCTACATCCCGTTTATCAAGAACAGTGCCCACATACAATCCACATAAAAGAGATAAACCTATTAAGATTTATATATTGTTAAATTGGAAATATGTCCAAACACCTTCAAACTAACAAAGCTATATATAAAAGCATAAGATCCACCATAGATCCAATAGAGTAATGTTCACCACCGGTACTTATTGTACTATGTGAAAAGACATTGGAATTTTGAATTGGATTTGAATACAATTTTTTTTACTCTCCAAAAAGTGGATACTGGCAAGTAGGAATGTATAAATTTACATTTATACCTTTTAGTCTATGTAATGCCCCTGCTGCATTTGAGAAGCTAATTGATTATAGTTTATTCGTCTTCCGGGTTTGGACCGTGTCATTTGTGAGTGACCCAGTGGGTTAATCTCGACGTTTCGCTACAATTGTATGTAGCTTCTTCAGGAGAACAAAGAAAAGAAAACAAAAGACAGGAAGATGGGTAGTTAGCAATGGTAACTCAGTTACTCAACGCAACCAGAGGCGAATACTAACTACCAAGATGGGCATTTGGTCACAGTAACTCAACTACTCAACGCAGCCAGAGGTGAAAACCAAATGCCAGGACAGGGATTCACGTCCAACAACTCAGAACCAAATGCCAGGACGTGAATCCCTGTCCTGGCATTTGGTTTTCACCTCTGGCTGCGTTGGGTAGTTGAGTTACTGTGACCAAATGCCCATCTTGGTAGTTAGTATTCGCATCTGGTTGCGTTGAGTAACTGAGTTACCGTTGCCTCTCGACGCGTTAGTGTTCTGAGCTGTTGGACGTGAATCCCTGTCCTGGCATTTGGTTTTCACCTCTCTCTGCGTTGAGTAGTTGAGTTACTGTGACCAAATGCCCATCTTGGTAGTTAGTATTCGCCTCTGGTTGCGTTGAGTAACTGAGTTACCATTGCTAACTACCCATCTTCCTGTCTTTTGTTTTCTTTTCTTTGTTCTCCTGAAGAAGCTACATACAATTGTAGCGAAACGTCGAGATGAACCCACCATTGGGTCACTCACAAATGACACGGTCCAAACCCGGAAGACGAATAAACTATAATTCTGACTCTGGACGTGGAAGCCTACGATTTCAAGCTAATTGATGTAGTTTTGAGAGGCATGACATAGTTAGAAGATAACTTGACGAGTATTCCAAGAATCTGAAGGAAGTGTTCAATGATTACATGCAGCTAATCTGAAATCAACTTAAAAGTGTCACATGTTTCGAAGCGAAGGTAGGTACTTAACTACTATAGGTAGTTACTAGGTGCTGCTCTTCCCAGATTTAATATGGACAAGACAAAGACATCACTAACTTCAGCATTGTCTTGTCCCAAAATTAAGAAAACACTACTGCGTTACTAGGAAAGAACTAATAGGTGTAGTGAAGGCTTGTAGATTTTTACAAATAACTGTATGGTTGAAAGTTCCTTATTTATAATATGGCTAGAGTGATTATAAGAAAACAATTATGACATGAACATAGCATAGGAAAAATCCAATTCAAAAGTAGTTACTGTTTAAAATTAGATCCATGTGTAACAAACTACTGTTACCAATGATCAATGGCTACAACATGGTGAAAGGCCAACCTGCAAGTCTTAAGTGCATGTTAATCCAGAAATTAAAGCATATCATACTGGTATAGTCTGGTACTGAAAGATTAGACCATTTAAAAATTATTGTGGTACCCAAGTTACATCTAATTATAACTAAAAGTAAAATGTCAGAAACATTGTGTCAGTTTCATGACAGCGTCTCAGGTGGAGTTTAGCATTACAAAGACTTTACAGAAGGTTTGGAACCAGTTCTCTCAGGAATTAGTGTTCTCTTAAAAATTAATTCGGACCAATAGCCAAATTTTGATTCAGCATTTTTCCAAAAAATTGATAAATCTTCATCTTTTGTAATGCTGAACAATACCCCAAAATTTGGGGTTAAGTTTCTCCTGGGGCAATTTTGACATTCTGATTTGGCTATGCCCTTTAATTTAATGTAGTAATACTATGGAATAACATGCAGAGGAAATAATATTGTGATTTCCTAAAATCTTTGCAGAACGCAAATAATATACTTAATAAAATAATACTAATAATAACAAATTATAAGGCGATCTTTACAATCTATCAAAATAATTATATGCTTTAGCATTGGAATGAGAAGACATAAAAGTAGAAAACAATTATTTTAATCTAGATAGATGTAATAGTTTCAGTATAAGTTTAGACTATTTGTAAGATTTTTACACTGACATGTCATGTCTTGTAAAATAATTATATTAAATAAAATACAAATTCCCACACTTACCTGGTAAAGCTGCAGCTACTCTCCTAAAAAGTTGTTTAACATTATAGCCAGCTTTCGCACTGGTTTCTATGAACATAACATTTAATTCCTTAGCTTTTCTTTCTCCCTCTTCTGTACTGACCTGCCTCTTATCAGATAAATCAGTTTTATTACCAACCAGCATTATAATGACATCACTACCTCTCTCAGTTCTTACATCATCAATCCACTTAGAGGTCTGATGGAAAGAATTAGCATTAGTAATATCATAAACTACTACTGCTACGGTTGAATCTCTTATGTAAGATGGTATCAATGACCTGAAACGTTCTTGACCAGCAGTATCCCAAAGTTGCAGCCTTACTGTTCTATCTTCTAGATACATTGTTTTAGAAAGAAAATCTATACCTATTGTTGCTTGGTAGGTATTGTCGAAGCTGTCATACATGAATCTGGTTATGAGTGAAGTTTTCCCTACACTCTGTTCACCCAGAAATACTAACTTGAATTTTCGAAGGGGATTCCCAAAATCTCCTGATGTTGACATTTTTGAATGTTTTTCTTAAAATTGCCTTATTTAGAATTTAAACTGCCTTGATGTACTGAGAACTTTCTGATATTACTAAAATAAAAAAAATAATTGTACATACATATATATGATATTATTAAAACAATTCTTGAATTTTTATTAAAACTAATTCTAAGGAACACACAGAAGGAAATCAGGAACACCCATACAAATAAATTAATGGCATTGAGGATCTAGAGGTAAAAAGAAAAAGGTGGAGGAATTACAGAACAAATGGAGGCAGAGGCAGCAGGTAGCATAGGGAAAGTGATGGAAATATTAGAGGAAGAATGCTCAGAAACGCATATAAAAAGGTAACTATTTGTTAAAATAGAATGTTTGAGGTATTGGATAGTGTGGAAATCCTGCTAAGGGAGTAGGCAGGTTTTTTTTTTTAGCGAAGAGGAGAAATTGGGATATTGTGCCAAATAATATACTGGCTGTTTTCTATTATCAGAAACTACTTAAAAGATATTTATGAAATTTGGTTTGTGGGGAATACAAAATGTAACAAACTTAAAGAAAATATTTTGAAAGACATTCCACTTACGGTTATACCAGATGTGAGTTATTTTAAATGAAACACCCTGTATATGATTGCATTTTTAGATTCTACACAAAATCCTAGGACAAAAGGACATATTTTTCATTTATTTATCTTTTTTAAAAAAATTTTACAGACATCTTTTCAAAATTAATATGTCATCCATTTATCATCATCATCATCATATAACGGGGATCCTACAGCGATTGCCGCTTCCCACATTTCAGCCTCCATCTTTTCCTGTCTCTCCAATCTCCCTCTTCTAAGCCTCTAGGTTGCATTGTTTTTGTAATTTCTCTTCTCCAGGAATTTGGTGGTCTTCCCCTTTTCCTTCTTTCTGGAGGAACATACATTAAGGCTTTCTTTGGCCACCGCTCCTCCTCCATTCTCATCACGTGACCATACCATTGTAATTGCCTTCCTTGTATTCTATCTGAAAGAGTATTTCTAATTCCTGTATGGTTTCGTATTTCCTTATTCCCGATTCTTTCCATTCTCGATACTTGACATGACCTTCTAAGATAATCCATTTCCAAAACATCTACTTTATCTCATTCATTCTTTGTCATTGTCCAACATTCATGCATCTTTATTTTATTAGACCACAGTAATGAATTCAGTATTCGGATGCATTTTTTCCCTTGGGTTATTCAGTTTTGTACATCTATCTTAACTCTGCCATCTGCTGATATGATGCTTCCTAGATATTTATACTGGTTGCAACCTTTTATGACTGCGTTTTCAAGCCTCAGATCTGTGGTATTTCCTCAAATTTTTAAATATTCTGTTTTGCTTATGTTTACAGTAAGCCCCCATTTGGCATATTCCTCAAATAAATAATTTTCGATTCATATAATTTATATCTTCCTCATCGGTTGCAACCACCACCTGATCATCTGCAAATAACAATGTATATAGAGTTTCTTGTCCCACTACGATTCCCATAAATCTACATTTATTTCTCCAATTCCTCAATGCTTCTTGGACATATATTTTAAAGGGTGTCAGTGACAAACAGCATCCTTGCTTTAGGCCTTTAGTGACTTTAAATTCATTTGAAGTCCTGGTTCCAATTTTTACACAACTAACTGCATTTTCATACAATTTATATATTGCTTGGATATACGTCGAATCTAATCCAGACCTTTCGAGGACCTCAACAATTTTCTTTAACGGGACACTATGATATGCTTTCTCAAGGTCTATAAATACCAAATGGGTCTCTCTACTTCTTTCGGCACGCTTTTCAATTATTTGTCGTAGGATAAATATATTATCAAGGCAGGATAATATCATGTCATCCATTTATAAATATGTCTTAAAAAACCTTTGCAGACAAAGAGTAGGTAATGTTATTTCGGGAAGTTGCTTTATAAAATTTCTAAATACAAGGTATTCACAAATGATATGCCATTTCATTAAACTTCAAACCACAGTAAGTCAATAATTTTAAATGAAATACTCTGTATTTATAAATTTAATGAAAGAAGAAATCAATTGTCTTTCAAGTAGTATTAGGGCAAGAAAAAAGCTAGAGTAGGTGGCAAGAGGAAAGGAGGTGATGATCATACTGCACATGATCATATAGCTAAAAATTGTGAAGAAGCAAGAGGAGTGAGGAAGTGTGGGATGGAGGATCACACACAATCCCAATGTCAGAGTAACACAGTAGGGTACTTTAACTGCAATTAGGAAGGCCACAGGTTAACATGGATTTATTTCTCAAGTTTAAGAGAATCATTAGATGCAAACAGGTGCCAGGAGTGAATGTGGTCTGCTGCTATATCCAATTTTACAGCAGATGATTATAAAAGTAGACTAGATGAGATCATGAATAAGGTATAATCATTTGAAAGCAAGTCTATAGTGCTGGGAAATTTCAATGCCAACAGACTCTCATGGATAAGTGTTTACAGAATGGATAGGGGTTCTTGACCTAGTTGTTCTAAACATTAGTGGTGAGGGGAAATTCACACTCTTACATATGTATTGACTGCCTTGATGCTGGATAGACAACAGGAGGGATCAACTTCTATTGTCAGAAGATCTCAAAGTAATCCTAATAGAGTCTATGAAGAACTGTATGAACAATTCAGATAAAAGAAGAGAATAAATCAACACAATCATTAAAAATCCAGTGTCTATTACCCAAGTAGTCAAGTTTCAAAAAGAACAAATGCACTATGGAAGTGTTCAGGGAGTTGTGTGGAATGGAGGCTGATCAGAAATGGATGATACTACTGTTGTTTGACATTTGGAATGTTTTTAATATCTTAAAATGGAGAGAAATAATGTGGATTTTACAAAAGAGAATGTGTCCAGATTATTTGATGCAAGTGGTCTTGGATTATTTGTCAGATGGAAAAATAGTGATAGAAAAAGGACTGGTGGTCAATATGAGAACTGAAGTGCCACAGGAGTCAGCCATAAGACTCATGCTATTAAAGATGGTATATGGGTTATGAGCCAACAATGCAAAAAGAGTGCAACCCACTTCGAATTTGTAGATATCCTAAGGGCAAAGAACAGGAATGGATCAGAATGCATTGTTACAGTTGGCTATGAGTGAGACAGAGGACATTTGAACTATGTCATTTCATGCATTATTTTCACACTATTTATTAACAAGATTCTGAAATGAAGGACTGAACAAACTAAGAGCATATGAAGATGGGTAGAAATAATTACAAATTAAATAGAAAATAGCAGTTTACATAAATGACCTAAGAGCAAGAAAACTAGGAACAAAAAATATGCAAAAGAGATATACTTTAGCATATACAAGAATTGGACAAGCAATATATATATATATATATATATATATATATAGCTTTTATATCACTTTACATGGAAAACTTAAAAATAAGAAAGGAGTGCATAACAATAATGCATATAGATATTAAGAAGACTATACAATGTAAATCAGAGAATCTGTAAAGTAGATTACAAAATATTTGAGATATTATGAAAGTAATTTGCTTCATAATACAACACATTACCAGAAAGATGTCATAAATACACAGTAACCTATTTATATTCACCACACATGGATTTCCTTCAATATTATTAAAATTTAAAGGAATAATCAACACTTATCAAGACACCAAATCAATCATATCTTAAAAAAATGTAAAAAGAGAAAACAGATGTGAGAGAATCTTAATAAAACATCAAAATTATTTGCATTTTTCTTATCAATGACGAAATAAAGTAAAATTAGGTTAAAGAAAGTACAAATAATTATAAAAACATGTTAAAATGTTTATCATTTTATCTCAAATATATGCCAAATAGGAGCTAACTATTTAGCTAAGCATTATTCAAGGTACCTAAAATAAGACAATGACGTGTAAATGTTAACTTAAATTTTGCTGTGCAATCAATAATATATGTACCATTAACACCGTTACAACCATAATTTCGTATTTTTATTTTCAAATAAACCGAATTTTTGTTAAAACATACTGGAATACTTACATTCATATAAAATTCAGTACAATCAGAGGAACATACACCAATGTATTAAATTCAACACTAGTCTTATTGCATATTTTAACTTATATAGTTAAGTTTATATTTGAACGTCTTTACTTCACCGTAACAATATACAACAATCAAATATTCCCTTAAATAAGTGGAATTAATAAATTGTTAAAAAATCCATTTCGTTGGCAAGAAAATCAAAACGTCATCTGTCAATAAATCTATGTAGAGTAGATGTAGATTAACAAACACAGAAATACCAATATATAAATCTACATAGGCATTTTATGATATGAAAATTACATTAGGAAATTAAAAAAAATTATCACCCATTGAAAATAGTAAATATTTTCTATATGTCTTAAACAAGAGCAATAGCTATAAAACATAAACTAAACAGCTGCAAAATTGTTGAAGGTATATATTTAATCCTATACTTTTCATTCACTATGTAGGAACGCACCTATTGGGCGTGGTGGTACAAAGGGTGTTAACTTTTTGACAGTTGTTTTATGTTTTATACAAAATTGTCAACATATTTGATTTTATTTTGTTTGACTTTGACGAATTTGACTCATTTGGGTTGGTGCTGTGTAGACTTGTGGTGTGGTCGCAGTTAAATAAAATTGAATGCTAATAGCTAAAAGAATATTATGGTGTGGTCGTTGATGGTTCTTGAAAGTTGCTAATGAGTTACCGAATGACTAATACTACTTAATTACACCCACAACAGCATCAATGATTTAGAAAATGAAGTTTATCATTATAACATTATTCTTAGTATTAGGTAAGCAATATTTTTAATTTTGAAACAAATATTTGTATTCTATATTAATATGTTTTAGGTACTTCCAGTTGTTATGGCTTGAATGGCACAATCCCTACAATTTTGAGAGGAGCTTGGTTCTCATGGGAATTAGGCAGAAATACTTTAACAGAGTTAGATGCTACATCCATGACTGATAGAGGAACCTGCATAGATGTTAAAAATGAGTTTCATGTAAACTATACATTAGTATTTCGCAAGGATAGTTGTTTTACCTGCGTTAAGCTGTTGGTAAGGACAGTTAATGTTTTGGAGAAGATGGAAAGTAAGTTTTTACAATGAAATTCATTTGACAAATGTTTAACATACATATTTTTAGCTTCTTGCATTAGTCTTCCTGCAGAACAAGCTTCAGTAGAAACAGTTTGTAGAGGATTAGATGTGCATCAACAGCTAGTTACACTGTTTTCTGAAAACTATATACCAGTTAACTGTCGTTCATCACTGGAAGGTGTTTGGAACTTTGCTTACCAGAATCGTTTCAAATTTACTGGAGAATGTTACAATCCTGATGCTCAAATTAGGTCCTGCCAAACTGCAGGCTCCCAATTCTTGATTACCAATCAGAAGTTCAATATTACATACAAGAAGTGTGATGGCATGACTGGCACATTTGATGGAGGTAAGACTAAAATTTGAATTTAGTAAAAACAAACAACAATTACAAAGGCAATTTAGAGATAGCCCAACTATTACCATAGTTTATCATTAATACCATGTTCTTATTTTTATAATCCAGTGTTTCTGCTTGCTTAATAATACTTCAAGTGCAAAAAGTATATTATATAGAAATCATCAGCTTTTTGTATATGATAGTTTATGGATTTCTTAACCCTCTAGAATGTCAATTTTAGAGGGTTAAGATCAACAACTCAGTGTAATACCAGAGGATAAGGAGTGAGGAATATATTCAGTTTTTTGGTGTTATTTATACTTACACAAAAAAATAAAACTATTAGGTTGTGATATATTGACAATTAAAATACACATTAAATATTTTTTAAAATTATTAAAAGTTACTTGTAAGAATCATATATAACATAGACATCATAGTGCTTCAAGAGGTTAGGTGGTTGGGAAAAAAATATTCGAGAAAAAGAAATATACAATGTTCTATAGCTGCCACCCAACAGAGCATAAACTTGGAACAGGATTCATAGTCAGCAGCAGAGTGAAGCACCTAGTAATAGACTTTGAAGCCATAAGCTACAGAATATGCAAAATAAGAATTAGGGCACAAGATCTGGTGCACACAAATAGCGGCACCACAAGATCTGGTGACAGAAGCACACACATTCAAAGGGGTCTCGGAGTTTATATATCTTGGAACACAACTAAATAACAGCAACCTATACCCTGGCTGCTTAAAAGATGGAATCTAAGGTTGCATGATCAGTCACTGCAAGCATCGACAGGTGGTCAAAACTAGATCTTCTGAGAAATTGTTTACACCGTCATTATTAATTTGTGTTTTACTTCCGCTAGCTGGTAAATTTTGTTGGCAGTGTTAAAAATTGTTTGTAGAGTTTACGCATACATATATTAATTTGTATTAATTATTGTCTGAGTTAGGTTTATTAACGATTTTATTAATTGTGTGTTACATTTAATAACCTGTAAAAAACGGTGTACATATATTATAGCGAGAGTGTTAGTCCGTTTTTGTTGAGTGGTGTAAATGTGGAAAAAGTGATAACATAGGGAGAGGAATATTAAAGAGTGCGTGAAATTCACTTGATCATTCCATCTTTTCAGTGGCTCAACTATAGTAAGTGTAGAATTTAAGAGAAGAATATACCTTCCAAACAGAGCTTACTTTGGACTAAAGCAGTTCTTAATATCACACATAATTAGCAGAAAAACCAAGATAGTAATATATGAAACTCTTATTAAACATGTCCTGACATACACGTCAGAGACATGGACTATGATAAAAAGCGACGAAGATCTGTTAGGCCGCTTTGAAAGACGAATACTTAGACACATATACGGATATGGCGCAGGCGCTATAATTTTGAGTTGTATGAATGCTATAAAAAATGCTTACTTACTTACTAGCAAACGCCCACCCTTGGCATGTTAGCCATTTCGTGGTGCGCTGGTCCACTGGCACGCAATTCCACTCTAATTTCCATCCTTGTCCTCAAAAAGATAAATTGAACATGAATGAACATGATGAAATTACATTTCCATATTCTAAGTTTAGTTCATCATGTTTAGCGCCTCCTATACACATGTATTCCATTTTTGTTGAGTTAACATTTAGTTCCCATTGCCTGTATTTCTATAATGATCACTTACTTTGTCATGAATTGCAGATCTTCCTGGTCTTGTGCGATTACTAGTTGATCATCCTTGAAATGAAGCATATATAGGGTGGTTTTGTGATTTAATGGTATACCCATTCCAGAACATGATCTCCTTCATTTCTTCAGTGCCCCACTCGTGTAGATTTTGAAGAGTGTTGGAGATTGACTTCAGCCTTGTCTTAGTCACCCCTAAAATTCTCGGAGGACTCTGTTATACTTTAATTTTGATCAATGATTGTTGTAAAATCGTTATATTACTTTCACAAATGTAATATTAATAGATGAGCTTTCCAGTTCTTGCCATAGTCTACATAAGGGTATTGTATCATAAGCTTTTGTTAATAGATGAGTTGGTTTATACCTAGCCATTCTTTTTTCATTTAGTTGGGTTAATGTGTGGGTTCTCATTTTCATAAATATATTTTTCATGTACATAACAATATTACAATATACATATAATGATGCACCATGCACAATATGCCAGATTTTGACTCCCTGTAATATGAATCCAAACCTACTATTAGTCAGACAGTCTGTCTCCCGTAATATATTCTTTGACTTTCCTCTCAACAATTATTACTAAACATTAGAAAATATACAATTCTTTATATTGGAATAATATTTTCTTAAAGAAAATGTCAAAATCAATTGAACTTTATAATAAAATGAATAAACATTTGTTTCTTTGGTCTCTTTTTACAAATTCTTTACAAAAAAATACTGTAAACAAATTATTGAAACTACTAGCAGTTAAGTATTTAAAATTTAATTTTGTATTTCAACTAAGTGTAGGGTGTGTATGTTTTATTCATTTTAGTGGTTGAATATAGCTGCTTGGGAGATTGGTTTGTTGGTAAAAATCACTATTTTGCTGTTGCTAATACCAAGGAATCCAGAAAAGATGAAAAATACAGATGTTTTTTGAAGAACAGAGATGATGACCTGTACATTGGTGTGTCAATTACAGCTGAATGTAATACTCTAAAAACCGTTGAAAAAAGTCCAGAAAGATTGCATATTACACCAGGTATGATACATTTTATTTATTTTATTATTTTTATGTAAGTACTGTCAATTTTTTTAAGATTAGAACAATCAGGATTTTGCTAATTTTTGACACCTGATCCAAATATAATTGATATTTTGCATCCCTGTAATATTCAGCGCTATAGCTGTAAGCCATAATAATCAGTATAGTTTTAGTTTGTTAAAAATCAGTCTCTTCCCTCTAACTTTTTTTCGCCATTTGTATTTATTCTTGCATTGATGATTTTCTGTTTGACTGAATTGTGTAATATTCTAGAAATGTCCCCAATTAAAGGCTACCATTTTTATATTGTCCTTTTTCAGTAACCATAATTACACAAAACATGACATTATGTGATACATGAGACATGTTATCTTTAATCCCAAGGATGGGGTGTAAATTTGTTTCGTTTTCATAAGTGTATTTTAATTGTTCCTTTTTTCTTTGAATTTAACAAATTTCCCGGTACCAAGAATATAAAAATAGTTATAATTTATTACTCAATTGATTTTAGTTTTATTTCTGTTTAGTTTTAGTCCATATTATTCATTGAATTCTGCTACTCTATAAACAGAAGACTGCAGTTTCTGCTGTTAGTAGTATATTGTAAGCATGTATCAGGTTCTTAATTTGGATTCCATCAATGGTTATGCTGTGGATCTGATTAAATTTTTGCAGTTTTTAGTTCTGATCTCTTCAAATTCACAATCATGATGCACTCCTCTCGTAATTTCTTTATCTGTTTATAATACAACTTAGGTTTTTCATTTGCTATTTGTAAAGAGTGGACATGAGTTATGACAAATATTTATTCAGACATTCCTATAGTCGGATTCACGAGAAGAATTCAGTGCTGTCCTTAATGCAAGCGAGGTTGCCGTTTAAAAGCTACGCCCATTTTTGATCGGCACGTATAAAACAGGACCGCGCTGGCCCTTATGTATGATAACATTAAACCATGCAATCATATTAGAAGTAAATGTAACATTTACAACTTCAAGACGTTTGCAAATCACACCAAAATTAATATTAAAGTTATCTTTGAAATGTGTTTTACTAAATTATGCAGGGTTTGACAATGAGACGAAGTCTACTGGGGAAACTCTCAGTGATATTAAAAATTTCTTTGTTATAAATACGTAGATCCGTAGTGGCTACAAATTTAAATGCCTAATTCGTATACCTACAGGATGTCCCAACTTGGATCAATGATTTTTGTATCTTTTAAAGCAGAATAAGAATCTTAAATGTATTGTAATATTATTTATTGCATATTTTATTAGTTGTATAAGAGGTTTGTCAAAAAATGGGATTTCTGTTCAATAGTATAATACATATGTCTTTATTTTTAACATTCTCAAAAATTATTATAAAGAAAAGATGTTTAGAATTAAAAATAATAATTTAAAATTGTTTATTTAGACAAAAAAACTATTTTGTTCAACATTTTGGCTCACTCGGTGTGTGTACACACCAAATAATAAAACTACGGTAATATTAGAATAAAAATTTATATAATCTAAACGTTACCTAATGAATCAAGATAAGACTTACTGGAATTGCCGGTATTGGCTGTGATAAGGATATCTTCTTGAAAGTTGTCAGCTATCCACATTTCGTTATCAACTGTATACACATGCATATAATGCTGTATATAATTTTGCTCCTGTTCAGCAGAGACATTGCCAAATGCTTCATACATGAGTTGTTACACACGATCTTTTTTAAAGTCAGAGTTTCGGGCAGCAACGTAATGTTTAACTTGACTTTAAACCATCTTTATCGGATTGAGCTCATAGTGATAGGGAGTCAATCGTAATACTTCTACGCCGTATTTCTCGGCCAAAGTTTGAATATTACACTTGTCGTATATATCTGCATATCTGTTTACTACATCCAATAGTTCTGATTTTAAATAATCTTCAAAAAATATATTCTTCTCTTGTAACCTTTCTTGAATTTGATGTTTGTTCCAGGAACTTCTTGGAACATTTTACATGAATGTGGGAGGACTTTCGTGAGGTTTGCGAATAGTTTATTATCAAACCAATCTTAGAAAAACTCGCTGTTCATTTCGTCATGGTAGTCGTTTGAATCTTATTTTTGCTAACCATGCACATTCTGAATTCGGTACAAAACTTCTATCAGATCCAAGACAAGTCTCGGTCTCTTCTCCAACAAGACGAATCTCGCACCTCTTTGTTTTGGATCTTTTAGGCCAGTAGTCAAGCCTTCTAAAATGCATCCGTATAACTGGTTATGGTTGAATCCCTCCATACCTATTTATTGTATGTCCGATATTTACCCAACTTTCATCCAAATAAAAATATTTTATCCTTACGATCGATAATTCTGTATTTTTCTGAGAAATTTATGCCTCAATTTATTATATCAAGATGTTCCATCATTATTGCTATCTTTCCTCTTTTCCTACTTTTTTAAAATTTCTCATTTTCATCGTATGTAAACTTCCGATTGGGTAGGTCTCCATTATGATCCAATCCTTCCTGACGAATTTTCGACTGTCCTCTCGTTAACACCCAGAGCTGTACTTGTAGAAACAATTTGTGTTGTAGTCAGATCAGATTTTTGTTGTTGTATATATCAACATATTCAAAATAATTTGTCGCGCATAGAAATCTAAGATTTGTCCTTGTTTGAAACTGTTCAAATCTGAATGTTCCATGCATGTTTTTGACACAGTTGGTAAAAAAATTTGCACTTATTTTTTGACCGGTTAATGTCCCTTCTCGAATGAACACACAAAATTGTTAAACCGTTCATAAAAGCTGTAATTTGTCAGTAAGCTATTCTTATTTATTAATTTATTACAATACCCACTCGGGTAACAATTAGTTTATCAGACATGCACCTCTAAATGATTGTTTTTTTTTGTAGATAGTGAAATATCTGTTTCAGTATTATATTTACAGTACTCATAACAAATAAATTTAATAATCTATTCGAATTGATTACACATTGGCTAAATTCTGAAAATCTTGTATAGTTTTTCAACATCCGGTAGTTCATTAATTTTCGTATTAGTAATTCCCGATATTCCCGGCATTTGAAATTAATTAGACATATCTTAATAAAACTTAATGTTTTAGTAAAATCCGAGATAGTAGAGCCAGGTTGCCGCCTTCCTCAAAATTTCTCTGGAGATTGGATAAATACAGCTAATATTGATGCTGATATTTTCATTAATGAAACCCACATTATAGAAACATGGTATCCTGATGAAGGAAGATACAGGAGAACTATTTATGTTTGTAGAGAACAGAGAGACAGTAGAGTGATGATGGCTAGATTAACTGTTGATGGATGGTAAGATTTCGTTTATTTATTTATCAATTTTTAATTTAACTTCAATAACAAGAACGTAATAGTTAGGAAACTACATAATTATTGGCTAGCTCACTATTAGGTTAGTTAACGAAGATCACTTAAAAAAAGATGTTAAGAGCGTAGGCTCAAATTTTAAATGGACCGAATCGACACTGTCGCTCCTATCCCTATTTTATCTTTCTTCACACAGCAAATACGTGTAGTTAAACTCTCACTGGTATGAAAGCTTTAAAACTGTCGGTATCTAGTGTATCCAGAATCGGCTTAGCACGTGTATAAGTATCTGTGAAGAACTGCGTTGTATAGTGATTGCTCAATTAATTCATAAAGACTTTATTTATTTTATTTGCATAAGTTAAAATATGGGACGTTATTACAAAAAATGTGTTAGTGTTAAACGAAGAAATAGACGGTTAGCTCAATTGAAGTAAGTACTTTTTACATAAATTAAATTAATTACTTTCTTTCTGATTTGTAAATATATAGTGAAAATATCATCTATAAAATCGATCAGTAAACCAAGTTCTTGGTTTACGGATCGATTGATTGACATCGATTTCATTAAATTTTATTTTCGTTTAAAGGAATAAAGTATCTGTTTGGTTTTTGTGGGTTGTATCTATATTTTTTTTGTTAAGTTAAAATGTATTTTTTTTTAATTATTCCAATTGGGCCGGAAATTGTTATTAACAAATAACGTTCTCAAATCGCTTTGATTAAAATTTTTTTAGACGTATCTCATCGAAGTAAATAGTTTTGCTTTCCTGTTAATTTTTTGTTAATTAAATGACTGAATTAGTTATTTTTAGGATTTTTTTTCTAAAAATCTACTACTAAAATGAATTACAATTCTACAAAAAGCTGTATAATCTTTAAACCTTTACGTATATTTAAGAATATTTTGACAAGAATAAGTGGTTTCTACCTTGCTAAAAACAATTGTAAATTTAAAACAAAGCTTTTTAAGCGACGCAAGCCTGTATAGCCTCGATCGTACACGCTTGGTAGTATTATACAGTGTGGAAACCACTCATGGAATAAAATTGTTTGAGTCCTTATTTTAGAAAATAATCAAAAACGTTGAGATACCTAAACTTTTAAATTTAAATGTGCACTTTTTAAACATAAATTTGAATGTACAGGGTAATCCACGCAAGTTTGGCATAGTCCATAATCTGTATTTTAAACGAAACACCCTGTATATTTTTATATTTTTAAAAGCTCCTTAACAACCTGATTTCAACGAACTATATCACGTAGGGTCTATTATGAATAATACAAGGTGAAATATTGAAATTAAGTATAATTTTCTTCAACACAATTAATTCAGAGAATACCCGCGGTAATTGATTGGATTACATTAAAATAAATGCTCAAAATGTTCTCCACCTTGTTGTTGGCAATAACACAGTCTCCTATAAAACTCATCCCGGACTTTGTTTAAAGTTTGAGGTCAAATATCCCGTATTTCTGTGGTTATCATTTCTTTGAGGTCTTCAATGCTAGTTGATGGTGTTGCATATCCTTCGACCAATCCATTTTAAGTAATTTCTTACCATTAAAGCATACTGGGGTGTTGCACCGTCCTGCTGGAACCAGACAGTTTCATGCAGTAGGGTCGGATCTATTGGATTGGGATATAAGTTAGCCAACTGAGGAAGATCGTCTATTAGTAGGTACGTTTAAATATTTTTTCGCTGTCAAATTACCATCTACAAATTTTAACACGGTTACTAAATAGAAATTTTCCCCAATGTAATGACACTACCCTACATGATATAGTTCGTTGAAATCAGATTGTTAAAAATCTTTTAAAAATATACAGGGTGTTTCATTAAAAATAAGGATTATGGGCTATGCCAGACTTGCGTGGATCACCCTGTACATTTAAATTTATCTTTAAAAAGCGCCCACTTAAATTTAAAAGTTAGCGTATCCAAGATTTTTTTTATTACTTTCTATAATAAGGACACAAACAATTTTATTTCATAGTGGTTTCCACACCGTATATACAGCGATAGATGGCTCAAAATGAATATTCGAAATATTTCAACGATAAGAAAAACCAATAAAAGATTTTCAATAAGTAAGTCATTCTTTTTACCGCTTATTTATGTAATTATTTAATTTCACTATTGCAGACGATCCACTAGTTATCCAGAAATGAATGGAGAGTTCGTCGAAGGGGAAACTGTGGGTACTAAGTAAGTAATACATTAATTTTTTTTTAAAGATATTTAATTTTTACTATTATAGACGAGCACGGTATTCTGGAGAGGCGGCTGAAGAAGTAGCAGAGATAGTTATTAAGTAAGCCATACTTTTAATTTTTTTAACATGAAATTAATCCGATTTTTAACAGTCAATCCCGTAATTTCGAAGAATCTGCCGAGGAGAACATAATAAAGGAAGATTCAGCTACTACGTAAGTTTTTTTTACCAAATATAAAATGTATTTAAAGTGCAGTAAACTTTTAAACATAAATAAATAATTTGTATATCTTTTAGACAAACTTCAGATTTCATATTACAAGGAAGAAGAATTGTAGATGTGCAATATTTTATTAGACAAATACTGCAATTCCCTCATCACGGATTGTTTAATTGCTCTTCGGAAGATATTACGGTGACTAGTGAAAAGCGAAAAGGATTTTATTCTAAATTCACTCTCTTTTGCCCAATGTGTCGCGTGAAACATGAAGTAGAAACTGAAAAATGTAAACAACCATCCCTCAACGTCAATTCTGCAGCAATAACTGGAATAGTTAGTATTGGTGGAGGATACACACAACTAACTGAATTAACGTCCAATTTAAATATCCCACCACTACCAAAAAAATATTTTTTATCAATTCAAAATGATCTAATTGACTTATACCATGAAAGTTCTTGGACATCAATGCTTGAGGCTGGTCAAGAAGAAATCAAATTAGCAAAAGAGCATGGAGATATTAATGAAGATGGCTATCCTTTTATAACTGTTGTTGCGGACTGCTCTTGGTCAAAAAGATCATATAAAACAAATTATAACGCCAATTCTGGAGCTGCAGCCATTATTGGTTACAGAACCCAAAAGATTCTGTATCTTGGAGTTAGGAACAAATACTGTTCCTACTGTAAATTATACGGAGAAGATAAAGAACACGTGTGTTATAAAAATTGGACAAAAGCTTCGACTGCAATGGAAAGTCAAATAATACTAGATGGATTTAAATGTAGTAAATACATGCACGGAATTATTTACAAATTTTTAATAGGTGATGGAGATAGTAGTGTTCATCAAAAAATTTTAGAAAATAGACCATATGGTAATAATGTTGTTGAAAAAATTGAATGTCGTAACCACCTCCTAAGAAACTATTGTACAAGATTAAAAGAGTTATCAACAAAACGATATAGTTCCGATGGAAAACTGGTACCAATTTTCTTACGAAATCTTTTAAAAAATAACATATTAAGATTAAGAACGGCTAATTACAAAAGCAACTGAATACCATCGACAGTCAGATAAACCAAGCGAATTAAAATAATAAACGTATAGCCATCTTCATGTATTTGGAAATCATTCGAATTGCGCAGATTATTTCTGTCACAGAAAATCATCAGAAACAGATTATACAATACCAATGAAAGAATGCAGCCTGTTGAAAGATATTAGCTCATGTGCAGCAAGATTAAAATTCCATGCAAATAGTCTTATAAAAAATATGAGTAACAATTTTGCTGAACAGTATAATAATGTAATAGCAAAGTTTCTAGGAGGTAAAAGAATAAATTATAGCTCTCGGGGGTCCTATGAAATGAGATGCCACGCTGCAGCTTTGTCGTACAACTCTAAAGGTCATTATTACCAAGCCCTTCACAAAAGCATCACAGGAAGAAGTCCTGGCGTATATACAAAAAAATATATTTCAGTGTGCACGAAAAATACATTGCGAAGAAAATTATATAACAAAAATTTGCAAAAATCAAAAAAACATATAAAAAAAATTCATGCTACAGATGAAGATTATGGGCCACAAGCACAAAAAACATTAGAAATTGATCGTGACGAATTAGAGAAAATTAAAGAAAAATTTCTATCGGAACTTCGTAAGAATAATGAGGAATGTATTCAATTATTCAATAATACAATAACTCAACGGAATTCAAGTGAATGGTATTCAGAAAGAAGGAAACGTCTAACAGCCTCGAATTTTGGTCGAATTTGTAAATTAAAGCTAACAACCGACAAAAGAAAGGTTGCCAAAGACATTATTTTAAATGCTTTTAAAGGAAACAAATTCACAGCCTATGGAATAGAAAAAGAATCCATTGCATTACAGGAATTAAGCGAAATGCTTGCGTTAGATATTTGCCCATCAGGAATGTATGTTCATCAGGAATATCCTTTTTTAGCTGCAACACCTGATGGGCTTATAGGTAATAATATGATTGTCGAAATTAAGTGTCCAATTTCAGCAAAAGATTTATGTCCTAAAGATGCAATAGATAGGAAGATACTAAAGTATATGGAAGTGAAAGATGATAGATATATTTTAAAGAAAAATCATGCATATTACTATCAAATTCAAGGGCAGTTATTTGTAGCAAATAAAAACTTTTGTTACTTTTGCGTGTGGACCCCGAAAGGATTGATCTTCCAGCTTATCGAAAAAGATGAGCAATTATGGGAGCAAATGGTAAAAAAATTAAGAGAATTTTATTTTAACAATTATCTTCCTCTATTAATACAAGAAATAATTGACGAAAAGTAAGGTTGAGTGTTTATATTTTTTGTTTTCTATTTTTACATTTTCCATCTATTACAATACTTATATTTTATTTGTATGTGATTACATAGTTTTATAATGCCGGCTCATTGTATAAATTTTTTTTTATTTTAAATTACATTATTACTGTATAATATGAATCGGGGATTCTGTATGTAGATTTCTCCAGAAAGTAAACAATTTTTAGAACATTGTCGTAATTGCCGT